TGAACTAAATACTCTAGGGACCAAAGTCTTATATTGTTTAGATTGCCAACCATGTTAGTGACACATTTCAAGTCAATGACATTCTCTAGAATATTTGCTCATCCACAAAAACATTCTGTAGTGTGGTCCTATGTGACATCAAAGAACATTGCGGCAGATGCTAACTGTAGTGATTCTTACCTGATGTTAGTAGTGAAAGCCTCCAAATTTTTTAAGTATTTTAAAAAATACAAATGTTTTTTAAGAAAAATTTGAACATGGTAAAATAACAATCTAAAATTTCTCTTTCTTTCTTTGAAATAAGCACATCTATGCTTTATTTATTTTGGGGAGGGGCAATCATTCCTTTAGTAGTCTGGTACTGCCTATTGAATCCTTCCCAGAACTCTTTTCTAAAATAAGGAACAGAAAATACATAGAATTATAGATAAATAAAGGTTCTATGGATCTAAGTTAAGAACATAATCTTATGCAATTTCTCTATAAAGGTTTTATTCAAGAGTAAGTTCAAGGCATTTCAACAAAACATACTAGAAGGTGTCAGCACAACCAGAAGGACCTAGAACTAGAATCTACAACTATGTACCGGGGGTCTTTGAGGAGAAGAAAAAGAAACGTGTCTTGGCAGGGGAGAAGGGGAGACAGAGTCAGACGAGGGCTAGGCAGGTAATGGGAATACTAGCAGGAAGAGTTGGCAGTGCACATGTGAGTGGTGGGGACTGTGCCAAAATGCAAAGTGAATGCCCTCTCTGAAGGAGGTAGCCTTTATTAAGGTCTAGCAGATTTTTGCCACGTGGGAATGTGGGCACCATATGGCCGTATAATCCCCCTTTTCAAGAGAAACCAGGCATATGATTTTTATATAAACTATACATACTTGTTAATGTCTGCTGGAGAAGAAATTAAGACTGGGACAAAGGAAACATTTCTTTTCTCAGATTTGCCTGGAGTGCTGCAAGTTTGTAACTTCAAGAAAGTATGAAGAATTGGAAGAAATTACTCATATTTTAATATATTTTTTGCTATCAGTATCTTTATTACATTTATTTTGAAATATTAAGAATTTGAAAACTTAAGAATTAAACTCAACTTCCTTCCTAGAGAGGCAGCATCCTACCATGGAACAATCGAGGTTTCAGGAGCTAAATTATTTTTAATTCTTCCAACAAACATTTATTGAAAAATCTACTTCTATGTGCCAGGTGGTATACAAGTTGGTAAGAATATAAAGATTAAGACACTGTCTTTGTTTCCAGAGATTACAGACCAGTCTGAAAAGAGTTGTACCAAAAGATTTTAATACAATCTGTGAAGGCCTATCATAGAGATGTGTAAACAGTACAAAGGGAGTGGGAGGGAAGAAAACATATGTCTTCCGAGGAGATTGGAAGGGATTCTCAGAGGAGAGCTCTCTTTGAGCAGATCTTTGTATCCAGGGGCCCAGATTACTAACGATCTAATAGATTATGCTGAAGAATTGGGCTTTTATCCTGGAAGAAATAGAGGGTCATTGAAGAATTCTGAAATGGTATGTTCAGATTTTTACGGTCATTCTGGCTACAGTATGGCATATGGCCTACAGGAGGAGACAAAGCAGAGAATGAAAACCACAAGATGATGATTTCAATAACGTCCGTGAACTAGAGCAGCAGCAAGAGCTGGGGAGCATGAGGTTAAACTACTTGGTTGGAAAGATATTTAGGGAATAGAGACAACAGAAGTTGGTGGCTGATTGTATGTTAGCGTGCAGAGTACCAAAAGAGAGGGAAGAGTTGAGAATGACTCTTGAGATCCTCTGTGAGACGTAGTCTAGTAAAAAACTGACAGCACAATCCCTGAAGCCAGACTACGTGAGTTCAAATCCTAACTCCTCCACTCATTAGCTGTGTGACTTTAAGCAAGTTATTTATCCTCTCTTGGCCTCAGTTTTGTATATATCCCAAGTGTTCTTACAACAGTGTTTGTGTTTGTGCCTGAAAATTACTGTTATTATTATTATAATTCTGGTTAGGATGGTGGTGCCATTCAGTTTGTTTGTTTTAGAAGACTAAATATTGCAATTTGAAGTGCTTTTAAAAGATTCTAGGTTTGCATAATTGAATATGGGGATCTCCAGTTGAGAAGAAAGTTTAACTAGCACAGTGCTGGTGGTTAAAGCCTCTTATGCAGATTAAACAGCCTAAGGCATTTTTGGAGGTTTGAGTCTCCAGTACACTGATGTTTAATGAGTAAATAAAGTAGGAGGCAAAATATGTGGAGACTCATAAGAAGAGAAGGCCAGAGAGATAGTAAGAGAAAAACAAAAAAGCAGTGTCTAAAAATCAAGAGCAGAAAGGGTTTTAGAAAGAGTATAGTCAAAACGGAAAATGCTATAGAGTCAACTATGAAGATAACTGACAAGCACCTATATTTAACAATGGGGAATTCTTTAATAAAGTACTTTAAATTGGCTCCTTGGTATTTGACATACAGAAAACACTCAAATGTTAGTTTCCATTATCTTTCTTAATTTTAAATGCATTTTTAGAGAGAGAGGAATGAATAACAACTACTAGATTAAAGCATATAACTTTTCATATTTGTAGGTCAAAAAATGTTGAATTCCACAATTTCACTTAGTAACTGAAAAGCTGCTTCAAAGATTAGTAGAGTGAAAACAGGTATTTATTTCTATTGTTTGTGTTATGATGCAAAAGTAAAAATTATTCTTATTCTAATTTTCCTAAATAAATGGAGCCGATAATGATTGCCAACATTGTACTCACACAAATAGAGGGTAATGATACATAAATGCCTTCCTTACTCTATGTCTACTGTAGTTATTTTCCTTGTCACTTGGCTTTTGAGTCTAAAAACTGCAGGGATGAAACGTAAATGCAAAAGTAATTTGAAGGGAAGAATAGTTGTACCTTTCCAAAGAAATGTCTTCTATTACTAATAACATTGGTATTATGAAAAAGTCTAGTTATTTTGGCAATGTAGAGTATAAAGTATAAAATGTTAAAGTGTTGGCTTTGGAGTCAAGACCTGACTTTACCACTTATCAGGTATGAGGTCCAGGGAAAATTACTTACTTTTCTAAGCCTCCATTTTCTCAGATGGAAAATGGAGAAGAGACTGCTGTCTCTTGGGATTTTATTAGGATAAGGGAAGATAATGTATATAAGGGGTTTAGCACAGTGCCCTTATAACAAATGGTAGCTTATGGTATTTCACTTTTTATCTCTCCATAGTGGGTAAGCATGAGAAAGTCTGAAAGAATTGTTTTTAAAAGAATAGGTGCTTTTAGAAGGATTAGTCTTTTCATTCGCCAACAAAAACCTTTAAGTTCTTTCTGGCAGTGTAGCTTTGTCCAATCACTCATAGCCGTCCAGGAGAACCAGCCATCAGATCCATAACTTTCCAAGACACAAGGGCTGAGTAAGCTTTCTGCTTCTCATCAGGAGGGAACTGGCCAATGTGTTCCTTCATAATCAATGAAATACATGAATCATAAAACAAAATCCCTCAAAATCTAGACCCAAATAAAAGCCATATAATTAACTACCAAAGACTTACACATAAATGATATCACTAATGAGGAATCATAGGTATCTTTACTATATCCCCAAATTTCCTTATTAGCCTGATATTTCACAAAGATGAAAAAACAAATTATTTTTTAAAATATATTTCTCTTTCACTTTACATTAAATTAAAGAAAAATAAATTTGTAAAATAAACTGAAACTATCTGGTGAAAAAGCCCTTGTAAGTTCATCACCAGTTTCAAAGCACATGGTAGTGCCTCATTTTGTCTTTAAAATTGAATAAAAACAAGGCTCAAAATGCCCTAACCTGTTATTTACTTTGCATTTTTATAAAAGATTACTATGCTTTGCTACTGGCAAAATGGTTATTAAAAATGTAATACAAGACTATTCAGGGAAATGGAATCCCATAAAGCATGATAGTATTATGGATCTTAAAGAAAAGCCACTAGTGCAGATGTTCTTAACCATACTAAAAACGCAAATACACAATGTGTTTGTTCCAGCTAGAGAATAATTCAATTGAAAGAGTGCTTATAATTTAACAGTATGAATAATATTTCAAGCCCAGGAGGTAGTGAAACCGCAGGAAATATAAATCTACAGAGCCTAGGCCAAGGAAAGTGTTCCAAATTCTCAAGGCTGAGAAATCAGTTCCTTTGCTTGGTACAGGTAGGAAATTATTACCTGAATTAGTAAAAAAAAAAAAAAAAAAAAAAAAATGCAACAAACAGAACATGCCTTTAAGGAAAACACATACAAGCTCATACGTGCATGCACACTGGTTAACTAAAAGCTTTTACCAACAGAAACACCTATCTAAATCCAGAATATCATTTAGAATCTGCTTTGGGAAAGTTAAAATCAGACTTCTCACCAGTTTAAATTTCTCATTGAAAAATGAATACAGTATGTAATGTGATACAGAATTAAATAGGCATGAACAGAAAAACATAAGCTCTAAGGACATACAGGATTCTCTTTGCAAATAATGATCTTGGCAAAAAGCCTCCTTTATGTACAGAAAACTCTGGTTTCTTGCTTACAGCAACTCTTAAAGATACAACAGGTAATTGTGTGCTGTTAATTAGGTTCACAAAGAATGTGTGCAAGCCCGGAGATATTTCATAACTTGATTCAGCAAAAGTAGGAAACGATATCAGTAAAATCAAGCTATAAAAACTCATTCTCTTATAATTACTGATCTTTCACTCTTACACAGTATGAATTTTAACACTGCAAATATGTAATGCCATTCAAAAACTGGCTCAATGCTAATAGCTATCAAAAGATTTTTAAAAGAGACAACTAGGAAAACTTTTATATGCAGATATTCAATATGTTTATTCCCCTAAAGTTAAATAAATATCTATTTTATTAGAACTGCAGATCTTAGGTGACAACACTCTTCCAAGAAAGCAAAGTGACATCTATTCTGCATAAAACAGGAAAATCAAACGCAGTACATTACCTTGTGTCACCTGTTGAACGGCCAACATTATCCCAGACACGGTGTCTGGAAGCAAGTTTTCTTTCAGATTGTAATGTGGTGCCCATTCCAAAATAGGTAGTCGTTTTCTACACCACTGTTTGAAGTCTTCCCAATGAGGGGTATGCATCTTGCTCCAGAGCACGTTTTTCTTTTTCCTCTTTGCCCCTGTCATCTTTCAGATTCCCTCTTGCAAAAGTAAACTTCTTTAGACAAGAAAAAATTCGTTGCACAACACCTCTTTTCAATGCGAGGCTCCAATTCGTCTGTGGTTTACAATGTCAAAGCTATCCAAAACATAAATCAATAAAAGAGAGAGAGAGAGGAAGAGAGATTAACAGAAGTGCTTAAATATATGCAGCCAGGCTGCATGTCTTATTATGGTGCAGTTAATTGTTCCAGGTAAAAGATACAGATTAAAACCTTAAATTCTTATCTGAATGAGATGGAGAAATGGTTCCTGTTAGTGTAATATTTTTCTAATCTTGGAAAAGTAATGGGTTCAGTACTAAGTTGGTCTAGAGCTCTCTCGCCAGTAATTCCCCTTATATTCACTGTAGTCTTATGTTTTTGGCTCCAATCCCAGTGGCTAATGAGGTAGTTCTGGGCGTGTGTTGGAAATGGGCTGGGTTATGCTAATGAACCAGGGAGCATTCAGCTCGTCCAGTCTCTCCCTACAAGCTATGCAAAAACATAATACTGCCAAAGGGGTCTGTCATGCAAAACATATTCAAAGAATCTAGCCTTACTTCTTTGGGAAGAACGTATTTTCAGTGTATCAAACGACTGCCAGTTCTACAAAATTCAGAAACATAAGAGGGCATTGCTAAATATCTTTATCTTTTTTATTCCCTGGGAGATGAGATTTTCATTCATACAGAAACATTCAGACAGCCACTGCCCAGTCTGGGAACAGAATAGCCAGTTCTCATAAACTGAAATTTCATCTCACAGGTTAAGAAAATAAGCATCACAATGAACAAATATTTGTGGCAACAGCTCTTCCCCATCTCTGAAATTGTTCATTCAGCTTTCTCTATTTCTCCAAGACATATAATCTACATTCATGCTACTGTAACTGAAATTTCTTGAAGAATAACATGTGGTTCAAACTATTGTTTGAAGTGTCCCCAACTTTTTTGTGGTGCTGCCCTCTTTTCACTTTTGGGGGATTTCTCTTTTTCAGAAAGGATGTTACATTTTATAATAGAACAGAGAGGCTGTCAAAGTTTTATTTTATGATTGTTCCCTCCAGCCCCTAGAAGAAAAGGCCTGCATTTATGAGCTGTGCTATTGGAATTAACCCAAGAACCCAATATATTAACTAAAAATTGTGAAGCCAAGAAAAAGAATACCATGTGTATAGTTTGCTGCAGCCCTTTAATGCCTATTTGTCCAGAGAGTTGAAATCTGGTTTCTGGAAGCCTTTGGAATAACAAAGTGCTTGGATCCCTTGGCTCCTTCCAAGGTGCCTGCTGTACCTTTTCTCAGTGTTGTTAAATTACGGAGAAGAGTTACTCTCTCAGTCTTCCAAAGATGACATCACTGGCTTTTTATCTGTGCAAAACTACTTTTCTTTTAGAATCCAGTGAATCCTAGATATGAAGCAATATATGTACACTTTATTCATATGTACAGAATAGAATTTGCTTTATATTTTTGCAATTTTTTACATCATATTAAATTTAGAAACTCTCCACTAGTTTAGGTTTGGAGTCTCATTAGAGACTGAGTTGCAGCATTCTACCCCTATTCTTTTGGTGTGAGAGGTAGACTCACCGGATGGGTGAATCCACTTTTCATAGAGATGCTATGTTGCTTTTCCTTCACAAACAGCAATCTTTAACTTTGCTTTATATACTCCACTCAGTATACAAACAAAGAAATTCAGGAGCTATATATATACTGAGTAGTGTTACTTTTATAATCAAAATTAACACTAAGGATATTTCTTCAAAACAAATTTAGATCATAAATTCAAGTTTATGCTGATAAAATGAGAAAAATAATTGAAAGCTTGACGGAAATCACCAGTCAACATCTGTGACTTGTATAATATCAACCATTAAAAGAAACCTTTGTGTTAAATGTTAGTAACAAAAAATTCATTAGAATTGAAGATGAGTCTGTAAAGAAGTATCTAAACATATTAGTGCCAGCAATTGTTCTAAAACTTCCTAAGACCAGGAGGGATGAGAAATTAGTTTGATAAAATAGTTCTGTAATCTCTCAATGAAAAAAACCCCTAAAATTTAGAAGAAATCTTTCCTAAAGATCTTTTCTGTAAGTATTAATCTGGAATTTCAATTCCAGATTTTTTTTCCAATTGCATGTACTTACATGGTATTTAAAACATGCCAAAATCTCCCTCCAGAGTGTAGTATCACTCCTACTTATAATCAGCAATACCAAAAAACCTTTATGAAGAAATTTATCGACACTCAAGAGATTCTTAGAGTACATTGAACCATCCCATGAAATTCAAGAAGACTAAACATATTTATTCAAAAGTTTCAAAAGGGGGTCAAAAGGTAAAAAGTTTTAAAAAATAAAATCTCTAGCGAATCCAAAAAAGTATCAATGACTAAAATTAGCTTAAAGTTCAGTACTACGCATCATATATGAAACAACTCTTCCCAAACGTCCAGCCAACGCTTACATAAATAAAAAGATAAACTTATTTATTATCTTCCACTTCCCAATGTAGAATGACAAAAAAATTCCTCTTCCTAAAATATCATTTTGATCACATCCCTAACATGTTTTAACTTCCAGCAATCTCCAGTATCAAACTTGAACTCATTAGCACAGGCATGTGACCCTTCTCCACATCCCTACCCACTCTGACTAGCTTCCCATCAACTCTATTTAATTAAGCATGTATCTATTGAACAACTACTTTTTCTAGACTCTGTCTGAAGTGCTTTAGAAGGTGGGGGCATGGGGGGATGGGAATATTGTCTCTACTTCCTAGGAGTTATTTAATGAAGGAAATAGAAAAATGTATAAGCAACTTAGGGCAGAATGGGATAAATTAATAACGAAGTCACACAACAAGTGTTATAGGAGCTCAGAGAAGGGAGAATTGCATTCCCCTTGAGAAAAAAGGCTTCCCACCCTGCCTAGACCCTCTTTTCCAGCAGATAAGTCTACATACTATCTGCTGCACACTGCTTTGATTCTTCAGTATATCTCTGTCCTAATTTCCCTAGTTCCACGGTCTTTTTCCTCATCTAAACATTTACTCAATACTTACCTCTTTCATGAAACTTTCACTGGCTTCCCCACAGTTCTGTCCATGCTGTATACCCAACATCCAGGTAACCCTTAGGCTATTTATGGGTGTGCAGCTTGTAGTCATTTTCACGGTCTACTGGTTTTCTTCCTTGAAATCTATTTCATGTGATTTTATCCAGTGTTGCTCATGAGATTGTAAATTCCTTATGGGTAGGGATTATTCACAGAACTTGCTTTGCCTCTTTTCTTGGGACCTAATAGAAGGTTCTGCAGACATAGGATTCAACCAATAAGTAGTAAGTATAAATATTAATTTGAATGTCCCTACTCCTGAACTCACCCAAGAATCATTTAGTCTATCTCAGCCTATTTTCCAGGCTGCACTGTTAAAGAATCAGAACAGATGGAGAGAGAAAAAGAGCTAGAAACAGTAGTGGGAAAAATAAGGAGAAATTTTACCTTTACTTGCTCAAATTCTCCCCATTCTCTCACAATCTAAAGAAGTTCTATATTTTTCCACACAATTGCTTTTTCTTATATTATAGAATCTGGAGAACGGAAGGAGGAAAAATGAGATACTAAATGCAGGAGAAAGGTAGGAGACAAAACAGAGATAGAAAACCTCATGGGCTAGGGTTTGAAAGAAAATTTTAGAGGGTTAGCAAGTGAGAGCCTTTAGAGCAAATGAAGCATGAGGGGATTGAGCTAGGCTCTAATGAAGAAAGAATCTTTTGACAAATGGTGTACAGGTTATAAATTGGATCACATTTAATGGTTTTTGAGAGACACTAGTAAAGATTGAAATTCTTCTCACATTACTTTAGATTATGGTATTATGCTTCTTTGAATGTGATCTGTGTGGAGACTGGGACACCAAAAGCACTGATTTATATGAAGCTTACACTTGGAAATAAAGACTCATAAACCTCAGGGGACATCAACTTCAAACTAGTCTACCTCAGGAAGTTGATCTACAGCATTTCTAGCAAGAGGACACTGCAGAAGGTTCCCATCTGAGAGGAAAAGTAGACGCTGTGATTGTAAGTAGTCTTTGGGTAGTGAACATGATGTAATCTACACAGAATTCAAAATATATTACAATGTACACCTGAAAGCTACATAATATTATAATCCAATGTTATTGCAATAAAAAAATAAAAATAAATAATAAAAAATAAAGCAGAGGCTGTGAAATTAAGGCCATGTTCTGCTCACTAATTCTAGTAACTGGCATAGGGATACAACCACACAGAGAGAGCAGCTTTTATTGTCATCCACCCAGACAGGGTAGCTTTTCTTAATTTACCCAAAATTTCACATAGGCTGGCACAGCCCTGAATCCAAGCTTTGTTTTAATTCTTCTAATGACTGAAATTAACAGGCTTAGAAAAGTAGCCCATTCTGATTTTCAGACATTCTAATTGTTAGAACATTTTTTCCCAATTATCGAGCCAAGATCTTCTACTTAAAATGTCCAGTCTTTAGTCTTTATCCTAACCTCTGTGACACATAAGAATCCTTCAGCTTCACGACTGATTTATTTAGTGCTACCCAAAAAAAGCTCTAATTTTTTTATGGTGCTGTTCATTTCAGAAATACTATTACATTTAAACATGGATGCACATAAATAAGTCAATTACAGCCTTGAACAGTGCAGTTAATGTTTCACTCATGACAGGCCAAGCAGTACAGTAGACTGAGCAAAATACTGTGCTCTCAGTGCTGATTGCTAATGTGCCTTACTTTGCTTTCTTTGGATTAAATAGCACTTTCCAGTCTGTTTCGTTACCATGTTTTTTCTTTCTGCCATTATTTTATATTCTGTGACTTATTTTGACCCATATAGGGGCCAAAAGGAGATAGCTCTAGTGAAGTAAAAAAATGCCCAGGGAAAAGAATTTTAAATTCAAATACATGTTTTACAATGATTCAAGGCATTTTCAAAGACATAGGAAAGAGAGGAAGAGAGAGAGAGAGAGACAGAGAAAGAGAGAGAGAGAGGGAGGGAGGGATAAAGGGAGGGAAGGAGGGAGGTGTTACAGACTTCAATTATTTGCCATACATGTTTCTCATCTTTTTACTTTTAACCTATTTGTATCTTTATATTTAAAGGAGGTTTCTTGTTGGTGGCGTAGAGTTGGGTCTTGCTTCCCTAATCCAATGTGACAATCTCTGCCTTATTTGGAGTACTTCGACCATTTACATTTATGTGATTATTGATATAGTTGAGTTTAAATCTACCATCTTGCTATTTATTTTATATTTTTACCATGGTTCTTTGTTTATTTTTCTTATTTTATTACTACCTTTTGGAATATTTTTTATGATTCATTTTATCTCCTTTGTTGGTTTATTAGCTATAATTTATTTTAGCGATTGCTTTAGAGTTTATAATGCACATCTTTAACTTATCAAAGTCTACCTTCAAATGATATCATATCACTTCACATTTAGCATAGTTCCATTTTCTTTTGTACCATTGTTGTCACGCATTTTATGTCAACATGTGTGATAAACCCCAACATATATTATTACTTTTTGCTTTAAAATCGCCAATCTTTTAAAAACATTTAAATAATTTAAAAAGTCTTTTATAGTTACCCACATAGACACGAGGCCACTGGTCTCCATTTTTCCTTGGAAACTCCAGATTTTCATCTAGTATTATTCTCCGGCCTGAAGTACTTCCTTTAACACCTCTTCTAGTGCAGATTTGCTGGATGAATTCTTTCAGGGATTTTGTATCTGAAAAAGGTTTTATTTTGCCTTTGTTTTTGAAAGATATTTCTCTTGAGTGTAGAACTATAGGTTGACAGAGGTTTTTTGTTGTTGTCACTGTCATTGTTTACCTTTTGTTTATTTTAGTGCTTTTATAAAGACGTTGTTCCACTGTCATCTAGTTTGCATTGTTTCCAACAAAAAATTTTTTGTCATATTTATCGTTCTTTTGTATGTGTTGTGTCTTTCCTCTCTAACGGCTATTAAGATTTTCTCTTTACCACCAGTTTTAAGCAATTTCTTAAAATCGTTTCTTCCTTCTAACATATTTTGTTCTTTTTTCTTTTTGTGCTTGGTGTTAGTTGAATTTCTTAAATCTGTGAGTTTACAGCTTTCATAATATTTGGAAAATGTTTGGCAATTATCTATTCAAAGATTTTTTTCTGTCTTACATCCTTTGGAGATTCCAAATAAATATATATTAGGCTATTTGATATTGTCCACGGTTTGCAGATGGTTTGTTTGTATATATTTTTTTCAGGCTTTTAAAATGTTTCCTTTTGGGTAAATTATATTGTTATGTCTTCAAGTTCACTAATCTTTGATTTTGCAATGTCTAATCTACTGTGAATTCCATCCAGTGTATTTTTCATCTCAGAGATTAAAAGCAAGACCTGAAAGGGTTATGCTGATAGGTGGGACCAGAGCAGCATTTATTCCCACTCTTGAGGCAAAATCCAAATCGAAACCTGATGCTCTGTGGTTCATGAGCTCTTCACTCTGGCTGATGGAAACATGAACTATTTCTAACCCTATGTGAGTGAGTCTCTAGGATTGCTCCTTCTAATCATTTCCCCAGTGTCTGTAGATTCTATCCTTATTCAAATCAATAAATAAGAAAAACCAGAGACATCTACTAGACCCTGTCCTTCAGATTGAAATTTATTCTTTAGTAGGAATTATTTGAAAACAGTCAGCTAAGTAGAATTTTTTTCATTTTGTCCAAAAAGGTATCTTAAGAGTTCATATCAAACTTATTACTGAAATCAAATATACTATGTCCTTAGTGGTCATGTAACTTTTCAATCCAGTACTTTTATTAAAAGAGATAATGGAGTTTGTCTAATAACTTCATTAGACTCTCCCTCTGGGTACAGAGTCCTCAAGTAGAAGGGATAATCATAGTAGAGAAAAAATGAACTATTTGGAACTGCTCTGTCACTAAAAAGAAAAATGGCTAAAATACTCCATAAGCTTATATTGCTTCATAGAGATCAGTCCAAAAGAGTAAATTTCCCCAACAGTATCAAACAGAGTTTGATTTATGCAATTATTTTTGGTGGGAATTCAATACCAGCATGGATCTTGTAGTGTTAACCTTATTAAATATTAAGTCTTAAAGTTGAAGTAGTACCTAGAGGTGAGCCATAAGGAAGAAAATTGAATGCTATAAAAATTATTTTTTTAAAAGTTATTTTTATAGCATTCCCAAGAGACAGTCACTCAGCTTTTTATGCTTGAAATAAGGGACTATTCTAAGATGCAGACCTGGTAATTACCTTTAGGGTTCTCATTTACTTGCAACAAGAAGTGTTTTTATCAAAAGATAATTGTTACCTACATGAACTATGAGTAAACTTACAAACTGAAAAATAACCAAATTGCTCTCATATATCCATATGCATTAAAATAGCAAAAGTTAAAACCCAAGTTCCTATTCATTCCATTGCTGTTACTTTCCATGGTCAATCTTTATGGTTTTATATACTTTGTGTCAAGGATCAGTAGGGCAAAATGCAGAACACTTGCACTTTGATAAAAATTCAGAAGCCATTTATTTTCCCAATATTTTTCATTTTTCAGGTTATTAAATAGTCAAATTACTATAATAAAATAGAAAATTATGCATAGTGTGGAAAAGTATTTTAAAAAGAAAAATATGTTCTATAATCACACTGTTGATTAAAAGTTTGGTATGGTTTGTTCCAGCTCTTTTTTTTCCTATGAAATATTTTTCTTTACATAATTGAGACATTACTGTACACATAACTTCAATTTTACTGAGTGTAATATCATAAGCCTTGCCATACCCTGGAAAACTCTTAGAGAACACCATTTTTTAGTGACTGCACAATATTCCTTCATAAACATGTACCACAGTTTACATAACCTTTTCCTAGAAGTAAATACTTTGGTTCTTCCAGCTTTTATTTTATTTTGCTTTTTTAATTATAGATAACACTGAGATACACAACTTTGGGCATAAATCATAAATCAGATTTCTGATTATTTCCTTAGAAGTAGAATTATTAGGGTCTAACTGGCAAAGAATCATCACCAACGATGTCATTTTTATTGGTGGATATTTTCCCCATGTTCCAGTGAAACTTTTTGGGGCTGGCATCTTATACCAGCCCAGAAATATAATAAATTCATCTTTTGAATGATCTCATTAGGACATTCTTTGACCTGTCACATGTTGACTTCCACAAAACTTACTGATGTCTAGTTTTCTGGATCAATTGACTCTCCAATAAAAACTTAGAGCACTCATGCTTAGAATTTCCTGAGACCTTAAAGCCTGGAATATATTTTTCTTTTGAGCTAGTATTTACTTGCTGGTTTACATTCCACATCTGACAACAAAATTAAATATGGGCTACCACTAATGTCTTGTTACCAAAAAGCATATAATAATATTCAGAAATTCTCAGTGCTCAAGCTTATTTGTCCTTCGGAAATCAAATTTGGTGGCTAAGTATAACTCAGATAGTGGCATCAAATAGAAAAAGAAACAGTGAACAATTACAAATTTATTATTTATTAGAAAACATAGACAAATGCTCGAACTATTGTAGTTTATTGAAAATTCAAATTTTCAAAGGCCTTTTTAGGCCTTCCATAAAGCATTTCTTTCACTTCCAAAAGTAGTATACAGGGACTAGTACCAGGGTTCTCATTCTCCCAGTTAATTAGTAGCCTAACTGAAATTTACCCCAGAAGTTACAAGGTTTACACTGCACATAGATTGCAAAGATATTTTGCACCGTATTCATTATATTATTGGCAGTAAAAAATAGATATACTAGAGCAGCTAAACCAAGCTCCAGGGAACATTACTTTTTATTCACCTCAAAAGGAGAACAATGATAAAGAAATCTTTGAAGTGTACTGTGGAGCCAGACAACCAACCAGCACATTGGCAAGCAAAGCTGAATTCCAATTTTTCAAGGTCTTTGAGGAGAGGATTTAGATAAGTAGAGTACCAAGACAATGCCTGGCATATGGGAGAAGTGCTGATAAATGTTAGTTGTTATCACCTATAAAGTTCTTTCTTTAGTTGCTAAGATGATTTGAATAATGTGTGTGAGTCTTTCAACAGTTTTGAATTGAGTTTTTAATATGCCCTAATGCATTAAAAGCATAAAGGAATACCACCACGTATGTCTTACTCTCATCATTATTCAACTAGAATGGAATGTTTTCTTCTTCTCCTTGGATGGACAATCTTATCCAGTTTATAATTTTTTGTAAACAGGTCTACTTAGCCTCCAAATTGAATAACAACCCAAATCTATTTTCTTGGGTTCTGCCTTGCTTGAACCCAAAATGTTGATTTGGACTACAGCATTATTTATCCTCAAAACATGGTCATATGTTTCATGGTCTCCTGTCTAGTTTGGAGATCTGCATGTCATCTCCATTCTCCCAGCTCAGATTCCTAACTTTGTCATGTCTTCAAGGTGGTCCTGAAATTCCTAAACTCTTGACTTTATTTTATCTTTTGGTATTTATCCTCTACATTCTGAATATGATTAACAAAAAGGTCATGCATATCCTGTGTCAATACAGATGAATTAGTTCTTCAGTTGAATTACTGAAATGTGGAGTCGATAAGAATTCTGAAGCAGTGCATCCACGCTCAGCAAGAAAGTTTGTATAGATCCGTTAGTCATATCTGCCTGAGCATTGGTGAGAGTGTAGACTTACCGTCATTGCTCTAGGAGTTTTTCATCTAAGGCAACTTTTTATGAGAGCTAGCAGAAACATGTCTCACATTTCCATCTATAAATCACTTTTAACAAATTTACTGTGGGTCTCAACCCAATCCGTAGATACATGGTTTTATTGTACTTAGAAACTTAAAACTAGAGCAAAGTAAGAAGTGATGAATATGCTTAGTAGCACATAGAATTTATGCCTATCAATTCTTCTAGCTGTCTATAGAGAAGAAATTATTTTTGATGGGCATTCTACTAACCTGTACTTAGAAGAAAATCTCCACCTGGTTAAATATATACTCCCAGAGTCTCCAATCCAATGAATGTTCTTATTATTGGAAGCCATTGTTTTAATGGGTTGCTTTAAAAATTATACAAGATGATCGGAATGTTTTCTGACACATCTCCATGGATTACCAATCCCCAAAGAAGTCTCAAGAACGAGGGAGTATTATACCATAGGGGACTTATAATAAGGATAGTAAAACCAAGGACAAAGATTTAAGAGTTCAGGTCTAAACTGACCTTCTGGAATTGATTTCTGGGATTAGAAATAAGCACGTTGTATATATGATCCAGTCCACATTCTAGTCAACATCTTGAGCGGATAATGCTCAAAATAGTGAATGTAATGAAAGTGTTTATATCACATTCATCAATAAAATTCTGAATCTGATGACGCACCTCAGGAAAAGAATAAGAAAAGTATTTTCATGTCCCACCTCCATTTTCATGGGTAAAGATGGAACATGACTCCTTTCCTGTTAAATTCTTTTGAAGAATTCTCTTCCTTTTGTTAATAAGGTAATCAGATTGAAAATCAAAAGTTTGCAAGAATGTAGTGGAGATAGAAGCCACATAATAAAGCAAAAAACAAAAATGGGCCAAAAAATGTCAAAGAGGAACGTTTTTATGTAACTGAGTATATCGTGATGCCATTATTAGAATGGAGATGGAGATGGAGACTGAGAATCTCAGAAGCTATCACAAGAAGATGATGATTCAACCATGAAAAATAATACAGAGAAACTGAAATAAGGGATTAGAGATAGAACACTGCCACATACAGAGGAAAGAAAGTAAGACAAGGGCTTATAAAAACATGGAATTTGGCAATTAGAAAGTTGTTGAATAACTTTTGGGAGAGAAGTTTTATTATAGTAATGAGTGCAGAAATCAGATTGCAGTTAATCTTTGAAGAGTGAATAGTGATAAGGAAATAGGAGCTATTCTTTCAAGAAGTAAAACCAAATAGGATGCAGAGGAAGCTTGAGGTTTTTTGAGTTAGAAATCTCTAGTCACTTTTATAGATGAGAAAAAAACATGGTAGAGAGGAAAAGAGTGGAAATGAGATGAGTATCCTGGTACCAGATGGACCAAGTCTGGAAAGAAGCAGGAAGCAAAAGGATAAAGGTACAGATCACAACATCATCCTCTAAAACGACAAATATAACTCCCAGGGACAGGAATGGAGGGGGAGGTATAGAGAGAAGGGAGAGAGTTAGAGATAGAGAGGAGGAGAATTGAGTGAGTTTTTGTTAAGCTGCCCCAAATTAACTGGAATAATAGGTAGGGTCACGTTGCCAGAGTTAGCAAATTAAAATACAGACCACGTAGTTAAATTTGAATTTCAGGTGAAGAAGGAATAAGTTTTATTTTTTTAATATAGATATGCCCCAAGCAATATTTGGAACATACTTATACAAAAATAAATACATTTGTTTACCAGAAATTCAGATTTTTGCATGGGACATTTAGCTGAAACACAGATTTAACCGGCAACCTGTGTTTTATCTAGCAATCTTAAGTTAAGGCTACCTGCTATGAATAAAAATAACAGTAGGTATAATCAAATAGACACAGAGGTTTTTCACAAACACGAGTTCCCACAAACATCTTTTAAAACTCATGGAAAGGAAATTGTATGTCTATGTTAAACCCACTCCCCTATTTTTCCCTAGGCCCTCTTATTTTGATACAGGTGACTGGATTTGAAATACGTTACAGAGTTCAGGTCATGTCCTACCACCGGCTTGTTGTATGACCAACTACCACATCTGTCAATAAAGGGGCCAGAGTAGCAATCACATGGGGTTT